GTAATTGCGTGAGTAAAAGCGTGCACACCACCGTCTCCTCTTTCTCTCTCTCTCTCTCTATCTCTCTCTGTCTCTCTCTCTCTGTCTCTCTCTCTCTGTCTCTCTCTCTCTCTCTCACTCTCTCTCTCCCGGATGACGACGAGCGAGGCGGCTGGATAGCACGATCACGAACCTGATTGCGGGGCGGCGCACCGAATTATGGTCCGCTTTACGCTTTCGGCGATCGCTCGCTCCCTCTACGCCGCGCATCTGCCTCCTTGTCGCTCTCGCGTTATCCCGCTCGCACTTGTGCTCGCTATTCCCCACTACGCATACGTACACGACTGTGGCCCTGTACCAGCTGTGGCGGTGGAATCTCCCCACCGCTCGCACAGTTGGTACAGTGACTCTTTATAGCGCAGACACTCTCCCACCACCAGGGACGCGTTCTCCACTACGGCCGGTATGACGCTCTCCCCACCAGATACGCGATACTCGCGCGCTCGGTAGCATTGCCCCCTGTGCCCGCTGAGTCTGGAGAATGAGCGCGAGAGGGGCAGAGAGAGAGAGAGAGAGAGAGAGAGAGAGTGAGAGAGGGAGGGAGGGGGAGAGAGAGAGAAGGAGGGAGAGAGGACGAGGGGGACGCGGAGACGCGCGCGTTGCCACTTTATACGATGTAGCTGCGGGGATGATGACGGATACGTCGCTGAGGCGAAGCGCGCGTGAGGATGCTTTACGTCTTCCGGTGTGAGGTTTTAGCGCGAGAATGATTTTCGTCGCGAGCGTTTGAGAATCCGCCGATGTCGGCTAACGAGGCAGGATGTTTCTACTTGTGCGAGGAAGCACTTCGTGTCGAGAGATGCCGCCGCGTCTTCCGATACGTCTCCGGGACCGAGATTATTTCCGCAACGACGGACGTTTCCGTCGTTGCTGGCTGAATTGGGACGTGTTTCCGATTCGATCGGGGGTGGGGGGCGGGACTCGGATTGATTTGAGCCGAACTCCCTAAGTATCGGGCGAAGCATTTCTTCAGGATCGCTCGATCGCTCGGATTATCTGTCAGCGAATGTAATAAATTGTTCGAGTGGTCAAAACGAGCTCGTCCGAAAGGATGATGAGGAGCCAAATTTGAGCTATTTGAGAAATTAGGGATTTAATGAAAGTTGATTGGACAATGGAGAGCACACATGTGTCTCGCCCATTCTGATCTCTCTTGCTACGTGTGCGATTGGCGAGATTGATTTTTCGGTAAATTTAATGATACCCCTGTAAATTTTTTATCACGACATGAAGCTGCTTTTATTCCCGGTGCGGCTAAAGCGCCTCCATCTTAGATCTTAGATAGGAAGATCTTAGATATTTAATCGCTGGTGCTATATTTGAAATGCTGAAAATACACATAGCCTCCAAAGACGTCTTTAGTGTCATAGTTTCGGAATAGAAAGTAATCGATGCTGCAACGAGGATATCCTCTCGTGACTGATAATCGAATTCTCAAGACGAGGTCACATTTTCACGCCATTCACTTCGCCGTGTGCGTTATTTCCGTGCGATTCTGCATTTTTCCGCGAAGCTCCCACTGCATTTTTAGACGGCAGCGAAATTTTGAAGAACGTCTCGTTGAACGTCGGTGAATGAGATCGAGTGTTTTAAAGACAACGCTGCGAGCAACTTTGCTTCCGGCACCGGACACGACATCGTTTAATTACTCCCGAATGCATTTCCCGATACATAGAGGCGATTCCAAAAATACATTAAATCCTCCCACGCTCGTCATATGATTCATCCGATGTGTAATACGATGCCTAATGTCATTTGAAGCCTAATAGCTTTTTCAAGTAAAGATTAAGTCGCAAAGTGTAACAAAAAAGAAATAATAAATCTTGAACTCCGGTAATTACATATATTGGTAATTACAGACATTAAATCGCTATTAAGTTACATTACTGATCGATTAGGATATGGATTGTAAGAGCGCAGACCATTTTCGTCCTCGTAAACGAACAATTCTCCCGTAATCGTTCTTACACGTATTCATTTTGGTAGCAAACTAATTGCCATAATTCGACGCATTCCGTTATTCGTCAGCCTATGAGAATCGGCTGAGATGAGTGCAGCTTCGCAAGACGAAATCTTCTCAACCCACAAGAGATTACCCACGTACAGATTACGATCCATCCATCAATGATAACGATCATCCTCTTCTCCTCATCCCCTCTTTGACATCTTGCAAAATGTACTTTCTAAGCGCAGCCGCCAGCATGCAGCACCGCGCGGTGAACGCTAAGCTGGCGGTTCTCTCGCCACCCTTAACGCGATGTCAGGCGATCGATAGTCCATAGCGAAGACACACCCAGGCGCAAGCACGTCCTTATCAGAAGGTAGCGACCGAGCCGAGGAGTGCCTCAAGTGCCGGCGTTACCGCTGAAGGTCGGTAAAAGGGCGGCGTGGGAAAAGTTGCGCGCCGAAGGTGGAGCAAGTCCATGCGCGGGAAGTGCCGTGCTCATTGCACTTTCGCCAACTCCTTCTTTCGTCTCGCTTCCTTCACCCTCCGGTAGATGTCGGCGTCCGCGAAGCCGCGCGAAGGGTTGCGAAACCGAAACTACTTCAGTGGACCGCGCGCAATCCTTTCGCGAGCAGGATCGGCGTTCCTCGATTTGCGCGCCTTACAGGTAAAATCGACCTCCCCTCTTTCGTGGGAGAGAGCAACCGCATTGTTTATGACAGCGCGGGGGACACGCCGAGAGGGGTCCCGCTCATATTTTCTTTCCCGCGTAACATTTTTTTATCATCTACCTGCACGTCGCTCCGGATTAATGCATTCCGCGACGCACGCTTGCTCGGCGGCAAGTCGAATACTTTACGATGACGTTGCGGTACACAATCAGCCCGTTGCCTCTTTATTTATTCAAGTGGCGATTATCTATTTATTTATCGATAAATTAACGCGAGGACTAACGTCAGAAATTTCCAAGTCGATCCGTGAACGACAGAATTCGTCCGTTGAATACGCGGTTATAACGATTCTTGCATGTTTTTTTTCTTTTTTTCTTTTTTTACTGATAACCAGCGCTTAATTAACTTAATGCGTTTAAACTGCTGTTTTGAACGCGCACTGCGCAATCACATTCTAATGCGTCTTTAGAGATAAACAAGCGCGCCGTGGAAGCAGAAGGAAACGGTCGGGAATTAAGCCGTAAAGTAGCAGAGAGATGAAATATCGCTTGTATAATTTCACGAGTTTACCGTCCAACTGATGCTAAATTGAATATCCGCCACGTTGGATACGACGCTTAAAAAATATAAATATTTATATTTTTTTATTTATAAATGAAAATAAATACATATCAAATGCGCACAATGTGCCCCTCTTTTATTTGCTTCGAGAAGTACCTAGAAACAGAAATATCGTGCAGTTTATATGCAGAGCGTCATGAGAGAGACATGATAATACCGCGGAGCTTCGGTATGAAAGGGAAGAAGAAGCGTCCAGCTGACAGGCGACGTGACAGGTTCCAGGGAAAACAAAGTCGCGAATCCGATACTCCCTTTCTGAATAAAATGGCGCTAATAGTGGCAACGGGCACACGTATTGTCGTGTCTAATTGACAATTGTGATCAATTCTTTCGATCGTTCTTTTCGCTAATTTCAGTCGTCCTGGGCTAATTAACGCGCGACACGTAACATTCATTCAAGCTGGACGTTGCTCAGTCAAATACCGCTCGATTAAATTCATCGCGCATCTTTTATATCCGAAGCCGCGAGTGCTCAAATCCGTCGGAAGTGAAAAATTATCGAATTAATAAGCAGGATCTCGCAGCCGTGGCGGCGTTAGCCGTCGCTCGACGAAATCGAATCTCACATTTGAATATTCAAGTATCGGAATATCGACAGGTGCACACGACAATGCGTGGATATTTTAAGAATGAAATAGGCTCTAACTGCCTATCGGCGATCGCGCGATGACGAACGTCGGCTTTGTTATTCCGGATGTTTGAGGAAGAGACAGGGGCACATCGAAATTACGAATAAACGCCAACATTCCGTTGCGTTATCAGCGATGATTTTTCAGAGACAAACGATGCGCCATTTCGACGGAGCGTCGAAAGCTCCAATGCTCTGGCACAAAAGCGGCACTTACATTCAGTTTTGTTGGGTCGTCATTTTAAGAAAGCCCATTCGAACAACCTGCATTATCGGTGCGAAATGCTACGACTTACCGAAAATACGAGGGCAGTCTGAAAAGTTCTCGGGCTAACAATGAAAGAAAATTTTTTTTCGCCGTGAAATATGTTTTACTTTTCAATATAATCTCCTGAAAGTTCAATACATTTATTCCAACGTTTTCCCAATAATTCGATACCATCATCGAAGTGTGATTCCGCAAGGTTCCTTTCGCTCCGGTGTACCCAGTGGTGGATCCAAGTTTCATCAACAGCTAAGAAACGACGCTTGAAATCCATTTTATTTTGCTCAAAACGATCCGAGCACGCCCGCAGAAATACGCATTCGAATGCGCTTTTGCTCAATTGTCAGCAAACGCGGCACCCATCTTGCACAAAGCTTTTCCAACTGGTGCAGCTACTCGAATGATTTGACAGATCGAATGAAATTTTACATGGCTTTATATCAGGGATGCCACTTTCCAATACAATTATAGTTCGACAGTTTCTAATGCCATGTAATGGTATGTATCTGGTCGAGAACTTTTCAGACTGCCCGCGTATCGCAGCACGGTCGCGCAGATAAACCCGAACGAAAGACCCAAGCCCGCGGCCAGCAGGACGCGATCCTAACAAGTCCTGTAGCAGCAAGCCGGGGGGCAGCCCACTGGTCCGGGTCCCAAAGTGTCATCTTTCGGGAGCCTCAGCCACGTGTCCCGCGCGTCTATCTCGGATCTAACGTCGCGGCGCGAAACGCACCCTCGGCTGCGCCAGCGCACGCGATCGATACCCCAGACCAGGGGTTTTCGTCTGTTCGCGTGACGTCACAGTGCGCGAACCAAGCCGAAGCAAGTAGCGAGCGTAAGCTACCGAGGGTGACCGAGGTGATACGAGTCGTGTTAGCAGCAGCCCGTCGACGCGAGCACGGCCCCGAGAGAGCTTTACCGTCGTTTCGACGTAGTGCCCGCTACATCGGCCTCGTACGTTTCACTTGCGAAAAGCACTCCGGCTGCTCGCGCGAGTCGCGTCCGTGAATTCGGGATCTGGCCGAGCGTCGCGGCGCGAGTCTCGTCCGATCGCTGGCTCGATCGTGAACGTCGAGCGGGAAAGTGACAGCTCCGAGTGGTGTGCTCCAGTCTCTGTCTCTGTCTCACGGGGGACGCTTGGCTCGGCAGGCAGGAATAAGAGTCCCGTAAGTCTCTCGAGAGCGCGTCGCGACGCGAGGACGCAGGAGAGGTAGAGAGCGTCGCGTGCGACGAGGACGACTCACGTCCGTGAGAGTCGATCAGCGCGCGATCGCCCACGGCGCAAGGTCACCGCCGCGGATCGGCCGATTATCCTGCGGTGAATTCGGTCCAGACGTGGGGACAAGCGGCCGCGACGCGAACGCTGTCCGTCTCGTCTCGCCAACAGCCGCGAGAAACAGCTGTACCCGTCCGCCCGATCACGCCGCCGGCGTTTTCCACTGTCACGCGTAAGCTTTCCGCGTAGCGGAAGAGCGTGCAACGGAGAGCGGACGGACAGACAGCGCGCCGTGTCTGATCATAGGCAAGCCGCAACCCCTTCGGGTCGCGGCGCAGCTGAGCTCGACCGGGCGCGACCCACAGCCCTACATTCGCGGTCTGCGGCGTGACCTAACCTCATCTCACCCCACCTTCGAGCGAGCGAGCGAGCTTCGTCGCCACCCTCCCTGTTTCAAGAGCCGCGGACGACGACAGGATCCGACGCATCCGAGTCCTGTGCTCTCTTTAGCTTTGCTCTCTCTCTCTCTCTCTCTCTCTCTCTCCCCCTCTCTCTCCCCCTCTCTCCCCCTCTCTCTCTCTCTCTCTCTCTCTCTCTCTTCATCGGAATTTGTCGCTCGCTCATCGTCGTCCGCTTTGTCCCATTGTGTTGCGACGTGTTGCGACGTGTTCAACGACACCTTTTGTCTCGTCCGGAGGATTTTCGAGCACGACTTTGGAGTTTCGAAATTTTTTATCGCTGCGAGGTTTTGCACCTTTCTCGCTCCCGTTTCCGCGAACCTTTCTCAGCGGCGAGTCGATACGGTGATCTCGATTCTTTCTCGACTTTATTGACTTTACTGCACGTATGTGATTTTTAAGATGGTCCCCGCGGAGGGGGACGGAAGGAGCTCGATCTGACGCGTTGCGTGCAACGCGGATGCAGCGATCGGTATCGTGTGTGTGTGTGTGTGTGTGTGTGTGTGTGTGTGTGTGTGTGTGCACTCGGCGAAATACGTATTTGACCTTGGCGAGAAATCAATCATTCACCGTATAGCCGTAGCCCAGAGACAATGCCTCTCGATGATGGTGCCGTTAATTAACGACAAACGATTTGACGGCCGCGGATCGACCTCGTTACCGTCGTAACGATCGTCGCGATGACAATGACGACGCCGCAGCGCGCTCGGTAGCTCCGGAGTTTATGAGGACGTCCGCTTTAATATTCGCCCGGGAAACCCCGTCTCCCAAGCATGCGCTTCCATATTAACAACAAAGTGCCGCATCTTCGATCGGCGTCGTGGCGCCGCGTTGTGTCCCTTCCGATTTTCGGCGGTCCTCGCGAAAACTCCTCGCCGTCGTCCTTTACGATGCGGAGCTCGGCGAGGCGATTGTCGATGCTCGATGCCAACGACAATCGCCTCTTGCTTTTGCCGCACTACTCAGCTACCGACGTGCGCTGACGCACGACTGTACGTCACCGACACGCGCGAACATTCCGCTCTCGCGAATAAGTGTCGAGCGCCGCGAGTAATATTTCCTCGATTAACGTCGTCGCGCGCGATACAGCGACGTTACGGACTGTTAAGTAAACAGAGTCTCGCATGTAAATAGACGAGACCAGATGGAAAGAAAGTTGTTGGTAAAGCCCGAGGAGAGAGAGAGAGAGAGAGAGAGAGAGAGAGAGAGAGAGAGAGAGAGAGACAATCGGCCGAGCACACGGTGCGTAACAACGAGGAGAGCACGTGTCGCGTTCGCGAAATTGTTCAATCTGATAAAATTGAGTTGTCTTCCATACCGCGCGCAGTAACAACGGCGAAATTGAATTCGCGATAAGTGAGGATTATACGAAGCGCGTCGTAGCAGCGTGTGAACGAACCGGCGGCTTACCTCGCGCCCGCACAACAACGCACGAGAACCGATAAATCATTACGCCGCGTGCGATCCACCTCGTTGGCCCATTAAGAGAAAAAAAGGGAAAGAAGACTCGACGTATCGCTGTATAATCACGGATATTGAAGAAATACCTCGAAATCTATCATCTGTATCGTCGATCCTTCATCCGGATTCTTTATTTTTACTTTCGTCCGCCTCGTATTCTCCGGCTTGAGGATTTGAACATTGACAAATGACGGGAGAAAGGGAGGGAGGGAGGGAGAGAGAGAGAGAGAGAGAGAGAGGGGGAGGGGGGGTGGAAGGACAGAGGGCAGAGAGGAATGTGGTAAATGACTGACTGCGTTTGCGATATCACGATGATGTGCAATTCTGCGGTGGCGCATTGAAACCTTATTGAAATCGTTATCCCGGTTGCTCGGGACTCGGTTTTGTTCAACTATCTATGTCACCATAATGGCTTTTAAATAAGAGAAGAAACGCGTCATTTGCGGTCGATTCGTTGCAACGCGCGTCGAGAGAGAGAGAGAGAGAGAGAGAGAGACACCATTCGATCCGCATAGCGGATTTTCGTGTAATTTCGCATGCCACGCTACGCTCGCTACGCAAAATCTGATCTATCGCATCTGATTAAATGCGCATTATAGCCGCATGCAACGACGGCCGCGCTTTATCCTACTTTGTTATGCCATTTCGTCGTGAATAATTATACACCGGTCGCTAAGGAAGTCGTGCGGTCAATAGCGAATATGCAGTTTGCGCGCTGGATTCGATAATACATACGCGCATGCAATCGGCGTCACGATGAAGAGGGAAAAAAAAAAAAAAGAAAGAACGTGAGTGATCAGGCTATAATCGCACGCGTTCGCGCGTGCACCCGACTCGCTCGTGGCTCGTCGAGATCGCTCTTACGAAACGTCGTCGCTGCTCAATTGGCCAAATGGATTAATAATTATCAGCTGTCCGTACGGAGCGAATCCCACTGCAGAGGGTCTCCTACTCTCGCGCACGGAGATTTCGTGCGCTGCGGTCAGCCGATATATATAATAACGCCGTTCGATCGGCCGCTTCGTCGGCCGCGGAGAAACGCGAAAAGAGGAGTCGCCGGCGAAAGAAACTCCCTCCCCCGCCGAAAGAAAAAAAAAAGAAAGAAGAAGAGAAATGTCACACGGAGTCTAGCCTGATGTCGGCCATTCCTCGGCCATTGCTTGCAGGTAACCGCGCGGGGCGCGTCCTCACCGTCATCCTCATCATCACCATCGTGTCATCGCCGCGCGAAGTCAGCCGCATGACACTACCCTCACGTTGAGCGGCGCGCGAAGCCAGCGGCATTCCTCGCAGTACTTGCAAAACTAACTGTGCCAATCTGTGGATCTGTCGAATCGTGATCTGCAAGCGGCCCAAGAAGGAAGAAGAGCTCGAAGTCGAGGACGAGCGGTGGACGCGGAAGAGTCGGGTCGTGAGAGTTGCGGGCGGGGTAACCTTTGATTGTGATGTGGTGGAGCCCCCCGAAGGACCGCGGGGGCAGGAGGTTATTAGAGGCAGATCGGTAGTGAGGGCACCAGGCACGGCTCGGCTGCCCCGAAGCAAAATCGCCGCTGGGGCGGAGGAGGAGGTAGGATGGTATGACCTCCGGCGTCATCCCGCCCGTCGCGGAGGTGGTGCTGGAGGTGGCGGAGGTGGCGGTGGAGTCGAGCAGCTGCTGCCCGGCTCGGAGGAGGTGGAGCCGACGGCGATGTCGAGGCAGCCTCGAGATGAACGGGACCACGTGAGCCGTTGCGAGACGCCCCGAGACCTCCGTGACCTTCGGAGCCGCGACTTCAGGGACTTCAGAGACCTCCGGGACTCCAGGGACGGGAGGGACATCAGGGAGGGACAAGACAGGCACTACCGGGACGACTATCCGGAGTACGATCATCATTCTACTGCTGCAGCATCTACCTCGGCGCTCACCAACAACCTGGTGAGTGACAGTTTCTTTCTCGCGGCAGATGGATCGGTTACGCGTCGAATCTCGAGTTCGCTGGTGGTGGTCGCGGATAAAGCATGTTTGTGTCGCGCGACCGTCCACGCATCACCGGAGACATGCTTGTTGCTACTCTACTAAAGAAATCACGCTACCTCGATAGCGTGCAAGATTATGTGCAAAACGAGTCTTCGGCTTTGCGCACGGGTTTCAATCTTTACATTTCCCGCAACCTAGTCAGTCCTAATGGGAAAGTCGCAACTATTGAGCGTTTATCCGCGGATAATCGAGTCGGTAAGCTGAGACCTCGCTCGTGCCATTCGTTCAGAAATTTCTCCCCCGACCGCAGTCTGAACTTGTTGTACTCTGAAGCTCCGATACTGTGCGATACGCGACGCGATGGATTATCGATCAATTGGACTTGATTATTTCCGCTGCCGAGTGCGCTGCCGTGCGACTGTGGCGCTATTTACATTTCCATCTGTTGGCAATAAAGCCGCGACACCGACTGGCTGGCTGGCTGCCGCTTCTTTGATACTCGGCATTGGAAAGAACAGAACTTGCCCAAAGTAAGCAATGTGAGGCCGTGGTGTAATTATAACTTTGAAGTGCATCCTGTCATCCGCCAAATAGAGCGTTGCGCAACGCGATAGCGGGTATTTTTGCGGGAGGGCTCTCTTTCTCCGGCGGCATTATATCTCGCGACTGCAGCAAGCTCGGCTACGAAAGCGCAGCCGCTTCTATTAAAAACTTGCTCCCGCAAGCCCGTTTAAAAGTTGAACAGCTATTTGTATAGACCGCGCATTGCCCGCGCGTCTCTCTCTCTCTCTCTCTCTCTCTCTCTCAGCGAGACGTGTTCCCGCGAACGAGGAGGAATGGTTATGAACTTGGGCTGCGCTGGAGCGAGCGAGCGAGCGAGCGAGCGAGCGAGTTTCGAATCCCATCGAAATTTATATCGCCAGCAATTTCCGTCCGTGTATGTCCGATTTCGCCGCGCGATAATGCACTTAGCACGAAACGCGCTCCGCGCTCGCGACGTACACAGACCTCATGTAGGAATTCGCGGAAATACGACGCGAATAATATTATCTTTGTATAAATAGGAACACGAGATGTGCGCCGCATATTAATTTCATACGCTGCGCAGGCAGCAGTTCGCACTATCTATCACAACGTTGCGCAATAAAGCGCCGCTGCGTTCGACGCGCGTCACAAGAGCGATCTTACGGTCGGCCGAGTCTTCTTGCCTCATTGGGAAAGTAAAGAAAGAAAAGCTCCGCGCTCCGACCGTCAGGCGACATTGTGCGTGAGAAACATGAAACAAGGGCGTACGGGCCGTTAGCGTGCGCGATTTTTTGCTCTTCCTGTTGCTGCATAAACAACCGCCGCGGTAGTCGTCTCGTAACGTTGCGCGCACGTCGTATTGCACAATATTGTGCGCTTCGCTCGGCTACGACAACGGCACTCGTGTCTCGCACTGGGGCTCTGTATCGCGGCTGCATTCGAAATCCCCCCGGATACACTTCGTGTATCTTCTTATCAAGCGATAAATTTAAATCAACCTCTGATTAATATCGCGCCGTTGCCATTCCCCGATAATCATTTATTGCGGTCAGCGTGCAACTCCCGTTACCGCGGAATTCCACATAATCGTACCATGAATCGCTTCGTCGCAGAGAAACACGTGCTCATTGATATCGCTATCGTGAGCTTTTGTGCACTGGTGTCTCGATGGAGATTGCTTTACGCACGGACCGTCAAGCCGCGGTTCTACGATCCGAGCGGACAGCTCGTCGCCCGAGCTGACTTCACATTTCCCCTCGCGGACCAATATTTTGCTTCATTTTCTTTCGGCGGACACGTGTCGCGTAAATTGCTCAATTTCTTCCCAATGTTCTCCGACTCGATGAGTAAAAATACACTTCGTATGTAATCGTGACGTAACACCAGAAACGTCGATATTTCTTAACGAATAAATCAGAGTCGCGAAAAAAGATCGCGCCGATGAATAAATCGATAGAAGAGAGAAGTCGATATTAACGCGGGCACGAGTTATTCTCGGAATCTTCGAAGCAAATAATATATATTAACATACAATATTAAATAATATATATATATATATATATATATTAATATATACGATATTAAAATATATAATATATATAATTTCGACCAAATTATAGATTCTTCGATGCGGGAGAGAATTAAAAAAGAATGTACAAATCTCGATGCGAGAGGACAAGTGGTTTGTTGACGTCAAATCATCCTGCTGCAAAATTAGAAACAAGACGAGGAGGAAACCTCGCCGCGCCCGAGGCTGGGGGAGGGGGGAGGGAGGAATCGAGCCTTACGTTAACATAAATATTCTTCGCGTCGAAGAATGCGCGAAAAAGAACGACGAGTCCCGCGGTGGCTCGCTCAGAGTCGAGAGACGAGAAATAGACGGCGAAATTCCCAAATCCAAGCATAACTCACGGTATTTGGTAGACCCGTGCAAAATAGACACCTTGGACGAAGGACGAATAAGCAAAACAGAAGATCCATCTGTACCCGCAGCGGTACGGTATCCGCGACGCAAAGAACGCCCGGATGGGAAAGATTAACGGAGGGGACGACCAATAAAGTATAGAAAATTCGACTTACCGTCTCGGGGTCTCGCGGCACCGTAAGGAAATCCGGGGTCTTTGCAACTCAAGTCAAGGCGCACTGCACTACTCGCGAGCGATTGCGAAGAACAAAGACCCGAGGTAACGGGCGGGACAATAACATTGGAAAGTCGAGAGTGTACGGGCGAAAAGCTGCCGATCGCCGAAACAACGGTCGGAGGGCTTCACTTGAGTAGTAACGCGACGATCACATGACGCTTGACGAAAGCAGCCGCAAATATCCAAAGTCGACGAGGCCTCTCCGCGATCGGCCGATATCCCCGCGTCAGAGGCGCGCGCTCCGCTCCGAGCTTCCACAATGAGAGATGTTTGTTTTGATACCTCAAGAAGAGAATTCTCGTCCATTAGCTAACTAACGACTCTCCTTCTCTCCCGTCAATTGATTTATACGTACGATTTCCATCCGCGCGTCCTCCCATTGACCCAATTTCTTTCGCGATTGAATCTCGCCGGAGGACCCTCCGCCACTCTTATCGTCGCAAATATATCGACGCTTCCCTTGTCCTCGTTGAACGCAATTTATAATAACCGCGTGGAAACCGCGTGGATCAATTGCTGTCGAAAAAACAATGTCGGGGGCTACCGCCAAGTAGCGCCGAACAATCAACGCGAATAAATACGTACGAGGTCAGATTGGATGCAGGCTTGGAGCCGCCCGAGTCTTAGGGCGCACCCGGAGGATCCGGAGGATTCCGTGGATCCTGTCTTAACGCGCAAGATACGCTCGGGAACTACGCCATTCTTTTATAGTTGGTCGCTCCTCTCGGTTCGACAGTTGGCGAACCACTTAGTCGTAACCAATCTCGTCGACGCTGAGGGGAGGAAGGAGGGAGGGAGGGAGCAAGAGAGAGAGAGAGAGAGAGAGAGAGAGAGAGAGAAAGTCAGGCTCCTGCGCAAAGTTTCCCTTAAACTCGGAAGGAGGTCAAACATATTACAGGACGAAATTGTATATTGTATAGCGGGGAGAGCACGAGACACACACACACATACACACACACGCAACAACGCGTCGTCGTATGAACCTCCGCGATGAAGGAGGATCGGCCTCTTTAATCATGGCGGTCGCTTTAGGCCCTCCGCGACATGCTCCGTAATCGGCGCCGGCGCTTTTCATTTAGCGTTCTTGCATCTTTCATGCCGGCGACTTCGGGGTGCCGCGCGCGTCTGCGGTCTTTTTCTCTCTCTCTCTCTCTCTCTCTCTCTCTCCCTCGTTCTCTCTCATTTGAGCTGCAATTCACCGCGGCGTCTTTCCCCGCTTCGCGTCGAGGGTCAGACTCGCTAATGAGAGGGACAGGGACGCGTAGCCACCCGGGGGCGGCGGCGGCGGCGGCGGCGGCGGCTGCGAGAGACGAGACAGGGATGACAAGGTGGAAAATGGGATATCTCTGCCCTCTCGGCAGGACGCTGCCTCTTTTTCGTCTCCTTCCCGAACACGACGAGCACGAAAGTGGGCCACCCTGTCCCCCCGGCGACGGGTCGTCGATTGCGATGTTACTCCGCAGGAACATAACGCGATATAAATCCGCATCGCGGCCCGTTCTCACGGCGAGGAGCGGATACCGCGAGCGCTGTTCTGTCGGCGGGGGTCTTCGGTTACGCGAGGAATTACGGGGCGTCACGCATGCTCGTTGCGCCTCGCTCGTTGTTTGCCCGCGAATTAAGAGATATCGCCGACACGAATGCGAATATCGGAGCCGGCTGCGAGCGGCCGGCGGTAACCTCGTTGGCCGGCTACGTGATTTCTCCGTGGGCCGCGCGAGAGACGAGTCGAGGCCGATGTTGCCTATTACGCTGACATATACCCTCGTCTGTTTGTTTGCGGTTGCTCCGCGTCGCTCGATTTGTCGCGATCTAGTCGGGAATGTCGAGCGATTCGATTCCCGCGCGCTTTTCCTCGCGCGAATCTCGGAGGCTCGTCACGCCCGACGTCGCGGCGCTCGCGCCCGACATCTCTCCCCTCCTCCCTGCCGCCCTCGCGTACTTGGACGTCATCGCGATCTTATCAGTTTCGGCGTCGATCAAATTTCGACAGCGCGAAGAACAGCGCGGGAGATCCGACCGCCGACATTTATCGCGAGGGGAGAGGCAACGTGCTCGCAATGAAAATATCGGCCCGTTATTTCCATTCACGCGTCCATAAATAACGCGCCACGTCCGAGAGAGACCTTATCGACGAGGTGGGTCCGTCGCGAAGTCCGCGCACTCTCCGTGGTCTCTCGATCATTTTATTAAGACGTTACGCCGCTCGTCGACTTGTCGAACTCCGCGCGCGCGGCAGGTAACACCTCCCGCTCGCTCTTCGCGATCCTCGACTCGCGAGAGCGCGAGCGA